TTCCCTATTTTTCTTACACTACTATATTATACTCCAAAATGAATGCTATTAAGCAAAATAAATTTTAACCCTATTCTAACAATTCCCAATTAGTAGTTCAAACTCAGTGTTTTGATATTAGCTATCTACTGATATTGATATTAGATATCTATTATTTCATTTTTTCCATTAATAATAGCAATTATGGACAAGATAAAAGTACTTTGCCTTTGGCCTGAGGAAAAAAGCAAATATAGCCACTGAATATAAAGAACATACAAAAAATTTGATTTCTATTGAACAGAAATGAGTATTTTCAGAAAGGGTTTAAAAGTAAATTTTAAAATATACATGAATATCTCAGATTATTCTTTCAAAACAATGAATACAGTTTGCATATATATTGTATTATTCTATAAAATCTTAATTTATGGCCTATCTAAAATAACCAATTACAGGATATTTCCTTACTAATTGTTACCAATCATTGTTTACAATATCTTAAGGAGAAAACCTTTCCCACTTGGAAGTCACAGAACTTGGATTGTGCTACTTTTGCCACTTTGGAACTTTAAGCAATTCACTTCACCCTCCATGCCCGTTTCCCCATTAATAAACAGGAATAATAAAATGAGTCAATATATGTAAGGTATTTAGAACAATCCCCAGCATATAGTAAGCCCTATATAAATGTCGGCAAAAATAATTACAGTTGACCCTTGGGCAGTATGGGAGTTCATCCCCATATGATTTATAGTCGGGCCTCCGTATCCAGTTCCTTTGCATCTGTGGATTCAACCAACCAGGGACCATGCAGTACTGCAGAATTTACTACTGAAAAATATCCATGTATAAGTGGACCCACAAAGTTCAAACTCACGTTGTTCAAGGGTCAACTGTACTTTTTATTATGTTGTAGCAAGGATTATGTGAAATAATATATGTAAAAGCAATCGGTACCAATACCCAACCCCAAACGAAGGAACTCAAAAAATGCTTGTTAAAATGAAGACCAGATATCCACCGTGGGTGAAAATAATCTGTCAATAATCCTCTAGCTTCCTTGAAAACACATAGGAACATAATCAGAGCAAAAGCCCATCTCTGCATCTTACCTCTGCAGCCATGAAAGCCAATGTGTGCATCCCATGGGTGTAGCCTGTGACACAACAGACAACTGCTAATCCACAGCAGGAAAGCAGCATAGCAATCAGTAGAGACAGAACTCGACCATGGCTACTCATCGGTGTGGTGGGCGAAAAGGAAAGCTAAAAATGCAAAACAGGAGAAGGAAGCTCATTTTTCAGCATGGCAGTGTTAATTAAACCTGACTAAGCATGGCAGTGTTAATTAAACTCAAGGTTAACCTTGGTGTCTTTGTTTGGAGGTCTGTGCGTAGCCGCACGGCCAAATGGAAAGCACAGAAAAGTATCCCATTACCAGATGGTCAAAATTCTCCAACCAACCTAAATATGAGTATGAGCTGATATTTTGAGATCTTTATCATTTAATTTATGGAATATAACAATATACATTATATTTGCATCTCAAATTCTCAAGGATCCTCCTACCAGTGGGATTATAAGCCTCTAGAAACAATTTGCCAAAGGAATGTAATTCTCTCTTCTGGCTTCAACAGGACTCAACTTCAACAGGGCAGCACCACATTCTGTTGTGTTCTTTCACAATCTTGTTCTAGCCCTAATCCCTCAAAGCCACTTGGGAGGACATTCCTAGCCCGTTCACGGCTAGGACAACTGAAGTGTAATCCAGGTGCAGACTGACTACTACCATAATGCTATGTTAACAGTATACAGCTTGGAAAGGAAGGCCTGGGGCTGTGACTCCTGAGCAGAAAGGTGTAGATACCAAACCAGCTGGGAAGGTTAGAAGCGCCTGTCCATGGCCTGGGATGGGGGTTGAATTATGAAACAGCTAAAGGCTTTGGAACTGAGATTAACTCACACAGATGTGCAAGGACCACCATGGTCCATGAGGACTGGGTAAAGAAAGGGGCAAGCAGGGCTGTGGAGTGGGTTTAACGGAGAGGCAGGATTGTAGGCGTCCATTTACTGAGGATCCACGAGATTAGTTCGGGACTACCAACAAATGAAGATTCACCCACACAACTCTGAAGCCAAGAGGCAGATCTTGTACCCAGACAGAAAAGGTTCACTTCTCCAAGGACCAAGAAAGCCAAGAGAGCTAATTCAGTCCTGGCCCAGGGTGGAAACAATGTAAGCTAGTCAGAAAGAAGGGCTCCAAGAACCAGAGTAAGAAGGGGGAAAATGGAAGGAGATTAGAACAGAAAACATCTGGAAGAGACCAGCTTTTCTTCAGTTTATATATTAAGGTTTCCTTGCACTGTGATCAAAACAGTTTGTGTAGGTGATTTGACCTCACGTGGGCTGTAAGGCAACACTACTGGGGAGGGGAAGGAAACCTCCCTAGGGGACACTGCTCCTGCATTCCTTGGCTGCTGCAGAAAGTTCCTCAAGAAACAGGTAGGAGGTACCTGATCCAGGAGCCTTCCCTGGGAGAGCTATCCTGCACATGTGTGTCACAGCTCACTCGTATTACACAATTCAGACCTGGCAAATGTGTGCCTAAGCAAGAAAAGAGCTTGGCTAAAAACTCACATATTCAAACCGGTCCTTGCAGAGCTGAACCATCAGATGCAGAAATACCAGTCCAGCAAACCAGAGGCACCACATGACCACTTCTTCCACTGTCTGGACGTTCAGCACACCAAAAATGAAAATGAACTTGTAGAAAATGAAATTCCAAAACTTGTCTTTGAGGTGCTAAAAAGAAAAATATTTATAAAGGTGATTACCATTATACCTAACCCATTCAAGGAGAAGGTAACATAACAAAAGCTGGCTTCTAAGGAGAAAATAGTCTATTCTCACCTTTCTAACACTTGTCCACAAGAAAATATCAATAGAAGGCAAAGAAAAAATGAGCCCTCTGAAGAATAAAGGGAAGACACCTAGAAAGTAATCTATAGATTTTGGATTGAATTCTATAGTTATGAAATTTTAGCCATTAAAAGGGGAGTAATATTAGTTTAGTACCTTATGTATTAATAATACATATACTTCTAACACAAAATAAAAAAGAATGGTGAGAGCTCCAAGTATCATTTTTAATACTTCTACTCTCTAGTTTTTTGTTTTTTTTTTTTGCGGTACACAGGCCTCTCACTGTTGTGGCCTCTCCCGTTGCGGAGCACAGGCTCCGGACGCGCAGGCTCAGCGGACATGGCTCACGGGCCTACCCGCTCCGTGGCATGTGGGATCTTCCCGGACCGGGGCACGAACCCGTGTCCCCTGCATCAGCAGGCGGACTCTCAACCACTGCGCCACCAGGGAAGCCCTACTCTCTAGATTTTTAAAACAAACAAAAGAAAAAGACTGGACATTCTCCTTCCTTTTTATTTTTTTAAACATCCTTCAGATTCAAAAATAATATATGCTCATTTGCCAGCCATAATCAATAATGTATGAAAAAGTACAAAGAAAATTAAAACAAAAATGATGCCTTAACATTTTATGCATTTTTCTTCCTAAATGTAAAACATTGATTTTTGTATACTTTTATTTCAGTTATATGGTGAGAACCTTACCAGTGCCAATGAATACTGTCTGAATAGACCACTTTAGTGGTTACACATGGACACCGAAATGTTTTTTTCACCATTCAGAAAATGTTATAATGAATATCTTTGTACAAGTTTCTATTTTTTCAGCATTACTGAATCAAAGCTTACGGATATTGTTATGGTTTCTAATAAGTAAAATCCACCTGATTTCCAAACAAGTTATATAAATGTACACTCCCACAGAAGTATATCTGCTTCACTGTACTCTTTCTTACACTGAGGATGTCCAGTTTTAAAAATCTTTACTATCCTGAAAAAAAGGGCAATGAGGGGCGTCTAGCCAACAGATATTAAAAGATACCTCAAGCCATCTGTGGGAGTGGTGGCAACTGTGTGCAGAGGATAAGGATGAAAATATGGCTCCTAAGTATACTTTTATGTATAGTTTTGAACCATGTGAATGTTTCACAAATTCAAAAACTTAGAAAGAAAAGCAAAATTGAATAAAAACAGAAATAATTGAACCTACATGCGGAACAAATTGATAATGTGACTATTTAAAGATAAGAGTTATTTTGAGAACTTTAAAACACTGTACTCTGACTGTACACCCTTTGTTCAGAGAACAAAACGAACTAGGAATCCTTGGTGAATGTCTGTTTCCAGATCTGGGGCAGGAAAGCATGAAGTGAACCTAGAACATTTTGTGTCCTGGTTCTGAACCTTCACTCCACCATCTATCTGCTGTGTGGCTTTAGGCAAGTTACTTACAATCCCCAGGCTTTGGTTTCCCCATCTATAAGACGGGTCTTGTAACAACAGCATATACCTCATAAAATAGTTGGGATAACTCAGTAAGTTAATATACGTACGGTGCTTAGATAAGTGCCATAGTAGGCATTAAGTGCATTTAAAAAATTCTTTGTTCTACACCGCCACTTAACGGTTGAATATTTGTCCAATTTTAGGTAGTCAATGTCTTTGCCTCTAGCATTACTCTATTTCTTGAAGTTTAAGCACACAGAGAGTAAACCCATGTCAATTCTGTAGCATTCTAACTCAAAATGGTGCTTAAGGGCTTCCCTGGTGGCGCAATGGTTGAGAGTCCGCCTGCCAATGCAGGGGACACGGGTTCGTGCCCCGGTCCGGGAAGATCCCACGTGCCGTGGAGCAGCTAGGCCCGTAAGCCATGGCTGCTAAGCCTGTGTGTCCAGAGCCTGTGCTCCGCAATGGGAGAGGACACAACAGTGAGAGGCCCACGTACCGCAAAAAAAAAAAAACAGCGCTTAATAAATGCTACTGGATGACACTGGTCAAAAACTGTCATCACTGAACAACATGAAAGACGTGATCTATACTGAAAAAACTGAAAGTAGAGCTGAGTGACAAATGTGCCCATTATGATTACCTCCAGGTATTTGAAAAATCTCTATAATACTCCAAGGTTATGTTTTCTGTAAATTTTGAACTGATATTTAACATTTTAGGAAAAAGAAAGCAGTATGTAAGGCCCACTGGTGCCAGATCAATCCACCAGCAATTAGGCTGCTTGCCTGGCCTGACCAATTTCTGGCCCACAAGTCAAAAGTTTTTCCTGAAAACAAAAGAAGCATCAAAAAAAAGCTTCTGTATCCTACCAAAAAACCCTCTATGTTCTACTGATCCCATCTGGGAGACCTCTGGAGTCGATATTTTGGAGAAAGTACTGAATACTCACCAATGAAAAATTTCTGGGAAAACAAAGAGTCCTGCCCTTAACAGCATCCAAGGGCTCAATCACACAGTAAATGAATTTCAACTCTAAACTAGGATCTCAGCTGATTTAATAACAAGAGATTTGGGTTGAAAAGGATACGTAAGGGGTGAGGCCACTGTTGTACTTTTAATGTAGTAGGCTCCTGTGTCTTACCACTGGGATAAGATAAAGTACAATATAGTTCTGTTTGTATGTTACTGTTTTAAAGGCCAGTTCTAAATTCTTACTTTAAAACACACTATTCTACACTCCATCCACTAAAATCCTTGGGGAACTGCCAATGTGTACAGTATGCTTGTGGCATTAATTCTTTAATGAAAGCACCTCTTGCTCATACATGCATTCTGAGAGTAATGTTCAAATGTCAGACTATCTCACCTGACGCTGCTTGTAGAATGACGAATCTTAATACACTTTTCCAAAGGGAAAAACTAAAATCTCTCAGTAAATTCCTTTGGAAAAGAACCCATATTCTAAAGAATGATATATACAATTACTCAAACTAAAACAAGTCTGAGCTTCTTTTAAAATTACCTCATAAAAGTCATGAGGAAATAGCTATAAAGAACAATATTGGGACAACTTGGATACATTAAATACAGATTGTGGATTATAAAGTATTTCATCAATGCTGAATTTCCTGATTTTGATCACTGTGCTATGGTTACCTAAGAAAATGTCCTTGCTCTTAGGAAACACATATTAAAGCACTTGAGGTTAAAGGGGTATGATGTCCCCAGTTTACTCTCAAAAGGATCACAAAAAATATGTATATATAAATAAAAGGCAACTGTTAGAGTAAATGGGGAAAAATGTTAATAACTCTGAATCTGGATGAAGTCTATATAGGAGTTCTTCATATTATTTGTACAACTTTTCTGTAAGTTTGAAATTATACCAAAAAATTTTTTCTTTAATCTGGTCACAAGAATGCATCCTTGCTATCTGGACTTACCTGTCTTTCGCTCACTCGAAGAGGGCCAAACACAATACACTGGATTAGCTTAGCCACCAACATCAAAACACAGCAAGCAGTATTTACTAGAACCTGTACACAAACCAAAGAAAGGAAGTTTATTTCCGGTTGAAAAATAAAAGCAGCTCTAAAAATTTTATATTAGGAATTCAGCCAACATTTCTAATAACTGAGACTTTCCAGTTCTCTACCAGTACAAAATAAGTAATATTTGAAGGGGCACATTTTTATGGGTGGCAGGGTACGGATGAGGAGTGGGGAGGAAGGTACCAACTCAGCAGTTAATTCACAGAGCCCTGTCCCAACATGTACCCTCCAGAAGGCCATCTTCCCCTTCAGTCTTAACTGAATTGTGTGTAAACTTTGTACTGTATGCACCTTAAAAAAACCGTAAGTATCTCCTAGGTACATCACTTCCTACATTAAGATTTTGACAGCCTAGAAGAAAACTTTTCCAGAAAATGCAGTTATCATGAACAGTGAAGTCCAGCACCCAAACATCCTGCCCTGCCCTGTCAGAAAGACAGGACATGTGGAGAAGAGTGTGGATGGTCATAAAAAATTCACAAGATCATGAAGAACTGAGAATCAAACACATACACGTTTTCAAATGTACTGCAACGGGACAAAAGACATCTGTGGTTAGTGTTGGCCTTAAAGTAAAGGTTCTGGGGCATTCGAGGGGAGTGGAATCAAGAAAGCAGGAAGAGCTGAGAACTGAAAGGCAACCATGAGACACCAATGACAATCTAAAGCCTTCTTCACCAGCAAGTGGAAAACTTTCTTAGTAATTAAGAGAGGGATCTCCTTACACCTAAACAACAAATGCTTACAAAATGAAAACATGGGCTGCCCCTGACTCAGACGCTAGTGTGGCACATCACATTACTGATGCTCAAATGATTTCTAAAACCACAGAACCTGAAAAAGCCAAAAGGACCTTGATGAAGATGGTAAAGAGGACTTTTATTAAGAGCAAATGAAAACAAACACCAACACCGTAAAGGCTGCTTCGATCTTTGATTCACTAAGTTTACAGGAAGGTGGCCATATTCCTCTTTCCAGGTCATTCTTCCATCTATTTTTAAAAGAAGCAAATGATATTTTAAGAATAAGTAAATAAAAGGAAGGTGACGGAAGAGAGTAAGATAAGAAAGCAAACTCCTTAAGATCTCTTCAGGTTCCCCTTAGCGCTTCACACCATCCAGCCCTGTGGTAGCCCTGACACATTACATACAATGAATGGTAGCCCTGATTCATTACAAAAGATTAAATTATGTTTAGTTACATTCTGCCTGTCTAATGGGGCAAGAAAGTATGTGATGTATTTTCAAAGAACTGAAACAAAAAAAGTGCTGAAAAATGAAACTCTTCTGGTAAATTAAATCCTTCAAATAGCCAGGAAAAAACCCAAATTAGTTATCCAAAACATCCCACCTCCCTAACATGACTCCCTGTGGAGCAGCCCTATTCAAAACATTCCAACAAATAGTGTAGAATACTAAATTTTAAGGAGATGAAATAGAGGTTTAAAAGGCTAGTCTTCATTGTGCTCTAAACCAGTTAATGGGAACCCCAATCATGTTAATTAAGAAAAAATGTCCTAAGACAAAACTACAGCCCCAATCCTTCACGCCATATCCCCCAGCTGAAGAGGATTTTTAAAATCAGCCAAACATCCCAAGCCTAATTACAAAACAGTTTTTTAAAATTCTTCCTGTTTTTGCAGGTAGGCTTACAAAGTAAAGAAATAAATTCAACACATTTAGCACCTACTTGCTCAAGGCATGTGGGATTAAGAGAAATGAGGGTGATCTGGACTCTGCGCTCAAAGAGCTTTTAGGATCTACAAGACACAGAACTTGGTAAGCATCTAACAGACCAAGCCAGCTGCTGGGAGAACAGAGGATAAATCAAATTTAGGGTCGCTTAATCATTTCTCTACCCTAAACAGCATTCTCATACACCTTGGGTTACAAAGTAAGAAATAAAATATTACTTCTCAGGTAAAACTTTTCTTAAGTTTTTCTAAGTTCAAAAATGAGGTATAGGGCTTCCCTGGTGGCACAGTGGTTGAGAATCCGCCTGCCGATGCAGGGGACACGGGTTCGTGCCCTGGTCCGGGAAGATCCCACATGCCGCGGAGCGGCTGGGCCCGTGCGCCATGGCCGCTGAGCCTGCGCGTCTGGAGCCGGTGCTCTGCAACAGGAGAGGCCACAACAGTGAGAGGCCCGCGTACCGCAAAAAAAAAAAAAGAAAAAAAAAAGAGGTATAAAAATTTTGTATCTTTGATTTACCAAAAAGAAAAAAGTGGAAGTGGAAGTCCCTCATAATTCCATCACCAGTAGATAAACATTTCCTATTGTAATATAAATGGAAGATTTAAAAATCAGCACAGCTAAGAAGGGAAAAAGGGCTTGAGAAAGTAAACTGATATGAGAAAGGGATTTTATGTAAAAGGAAAGAGATAACCTTTTGTGAACTTTATGAAAGTGAAAGCTATACAGGATTGGAAGCAACTAAATTATTTTAAGATCATGAAGGAAGTGTTTTTAAAAACATCTCAATAATTATTAACTATTTATTCTATTCTACTTACAGAAAAATGTCTTAATTTCACAAATATCATCATTCCAATAAATTCCCAATTTTAAAATTGACAAAGGCTTGAAAAATTGCAGATACAGAAACATAATCGTACCATTCCTCATTTAAAAGCAAATCCCAGGATTACCATATACACGTTACTATATATAAAATAGATAATCAACAAGGACCTATTGTATAGCACAGGGAACTCTACTCAATATTCTGTAATAACCTTTATGGGAAAAGAATCTGAAAAAGAATGGCTACATGTATATGTATAACTGAATCACTTAGCCATACACGTGAAACTAATACAACACTGTAAATTAACTATACTCCATTATAAAATTAAAATTAAAATTCCAAATCAGATCCCACTAGGTCATCAGTGATATCCTTACAGAAACAACACTTCAGCCCATATTTAAACCAACGGAATTGGGACAAACTTTCTCACCTCACTTTATCATTGCAGATCACAGTAAAAGTACTAACCTCATTCTGCTCTACACAGCTAACTAATCTTTCTTGGTGAGCAGAATCCAAACTTAAATGTAAGTAAATCTAAGTACAAGGGGTTCACTGTTTATAATAGCAGAAAAATGAAAACCAATTAAATGTCCATCAGGGAGGTTAGTTCAATAAACCGTAAAACAGCCATTCAACAGAATACAATGAAGCCAGGAAAACTAAGTCAGCAGTTCTGCATTTACTAGCATTATACAGAACCTTCAAGATAACCTGTTCACTGAAAAAAAAGCAAAGTGTAGAAATGTGATTACTACGCTACCTTCTGTGTATGAAAAAGAAGGAATATGTATACATACCATATATAGTTGTATAATATGTAGATGTGAACTGTGTCGATTTGATCAATCTGGGTATTTCTTAGTCTTCTACTTAACACCAGCACTAACTACCCCCTCCCCCCGCCAAAACACACCTTGTATCAGTCTCCTCCTTTAAGGACAACTGGAATGTTACTTTTCTGTAGGCTCCCAGTGACAAGTATAAAATGCCAGTAATGCAAACTCCCCCTTATTATACTGATGCTTGTGTTCCTCTTTGCACAACATTAGGGAAATAAATGAGATTACGTATACAAAGCATGCAGCATGCATCTCGCGAGCAATCAAATAGCAATCTCCTTCCCCCCTACTATAAAGATTTTTTCCTATATTTTTAAGTTGTTTATCTAGGCTTATATCCTATTATTTACAAGTTTAGTCTTTTTCTTCAGCTGCCCCAACATTTCTGGAGCTAACATTTTTCTCTAATCATCTTTGGAATATTCATCTCATAAAGACTCAAACCGAGTAAATTACTTTCAGTTCTCAAGTTGTATAATTATGTGAAGATGGGTCCTTTGAAGCAGGAGTCAGAAACTTTTTCTCTAATGGGCTATCAGACAGTAAATATTTTTAGACTCTGTAGGCCACATGCTCTCAGTCACATATTCTTCCTTTCGGAAAAAAAAAACTTTAAAAATGTAAAAAACATTATTAGCTAATAGGCCAAATAGGCCAACACAGTTTGCCAATCCCTGCTCTCAACGGTCAGTTCACTTTTATCTATTTTCGTTTTTGGTGACTTTTTCCCTTGACACTTCTATTTAAACGACTTCATTTGCATATAATTAAGTCATCAGAACCTTAAAACTTGTTTCATATGTCTATTTCTCCATTTTACCATGTCCAGCTCTTACAGTTTTAAAAGCAAATACATAAAAAAGAAAAAGAAAAAACCAGAACTGAAAAAAAACAGGAGAAAGCAATGAAACTAATGAGTAAGATTAATGAAGTTGAAAAGCCATAAACACCTGAACAATTCAAAACAATGATGGAAACTGATCAGGAGGTACTTTAATGGAAGTGACATCTGAACAATGTAAAATTACCCGAGAAATGAGTAACAAAATAAAACCTAATCTGGAATGAAAGTTCTAGAAAGACATGAAGAAACAAATAATCATGTCAAACCTGGGTATTTGTTAGTGCAACAAAACAACCCTGGGAACCTCCCCTCACACCTGTTCTCAATGTCAGTGCCAGAGGGCCACCTGGAGAACTTTCTTTGGGGACGGGAGTCTTAGGTCACTACCTCTCCTGGCCTCTTCCCTGTCTACATAAATCCATCTTCCCCACTGCGGCTATAGGTCCGCCCCTGAAAAGATCATCTCATCATGACAGCCCCTCCTCCCCTCCACTCCCACTTAAACCTCTGGCCCATGAAATAATGTTCACACTCCTTAACAGAGCAGGCAAGGTTTACATCATCTGACCTTCACTCCATACCCCATCCTCTGCCTCATCAGTTTCTCAACCATTAACATGCCTAAAATCACCTAGGACATTAATCAAAATGAAGACATTATATCAGTATCTATATTCATCTAAACTGTGCCCTACAAAGATAAGTTTTAGAGATTCCAATATGCAAAATAATATCTAGCAGGAATTGCAAACTGGCAGAAAGATAATTGATTGTTTTGTCTTGCCTTTTTTAAAAAATATATTTATTTATTTATTTGGTTGCACCGGGTCCTAGTTGCAGCAGGCGGGCTCCTTAGTTGGGCTCCTTAGTTGCGGCAGGTGAACTCTTAGTTGCGGCACACATGTGGGATCTAGTTCCCTGACCAGGGATCGAACCCGGGCCCCCTGCACTGGGAGCAAGGAGTCTTATCCAGTGCGTCACTAGGGAAGTCCCTTGTTTGGTTTTTAAAAAATTGAATCTGAGTGTCCTTGGGCAGGGCAAGAAAGGATCCATTCTGACAAAGGCCCCACCATACATTCACCTAATAATGCGATCTGCCAGGCCTCGGAGGAAGGAATTTGAGATTTTGACTCCCACTCGTCTACTAAAGCAGAAACTTAAGTAATGAGTGATGAGGAAAGCTGACAATGCATACATGGAGGGTCTGAGGAACCAAGGAAGACCAAGATAAGTGTGAAAACCACAGAGGAAAGATGGAAGAAAAACAGCAAGATCAACTGAGAAAGGAAAAAAATCATCAGCAGATAGGAAGAAATTACAAACTCGCATGAGGCAAGACCTCTGTTGAAAAAGCTGGTAAGAAAAGGAAATTTTCTTAAAAGTAATTTTCACAGAAAATCAACAGGCTTTATGTAATGTTTTATGAAGAGATGTTAACCTTGGAATTTGAACATGAGTTTTGTAAAAAGAAACTCTGGGGAGGGGGCAGGGAGATCATTAAACAATACTAGTAGTTGTTAAATACTATAGCAGTTCCATTTCAAAGGCTTATTTGTATTATATACTTAAATATATACATATATATATATATAAAAGACTACATTATAATCTCAACATTTGGCAATATCACTCTTCACATCACAGTTTACCTGCCAACTGAAATGCAAAAATAGATTTTTAAAATCTGTGTAATAGAAATTAAACAAGAGACGTGTGGCTGAGTTCTTTCTCTTCTCCCTTCTTGTGTACTGTAAGGTTCAGCTTTACACAGCAGTGGAGGAATGGAACTTCACCCTTCACTGCCTTCTACTCACCTCTTCATCAGAAGGACCAAGAGACTTGATCCACACCCACAATTCATAAATCCCACTGCTTCCTAATGAAGCACAGCGGGATTAATTATAACAAATGAGTTGTGTATCATTCTGTATACTTGGAATATTAATCCCAGTCACTTACAGCCGGCTCTCACCCCAAAACGGGAATTTACAGGAGAAGACAAGACTCTGGACCCAAGACGCCACAGCAAATGCAAGGACAGACTTCAGTCCTGGAACAGCTTTTCTGATCGCCGTGGGGTTTCCGTGAGGCATTCAAAGGCTAAGGTAGAAGCCAAGCTCTTAAGCCAAAATACTGTTGATCTACCCGCCTGAAATTATCTGTTCTAATAAGTGAAACCAGCATTTATGCCTTGTAAATGCTGCTTATCTTACACTGGCAGACAAACTGGAAACCGTGTTTTAAAATGGATCACTAAAAGGAAAAATCCTGAGTTCAAATGGAGAGACACCTCTTGACTCCGAATGTTTTGGCTGCCTTCAGACATCAAAAGAAACTTTCATGAATCACCAGGTGAAAGCAGCAGGAAAGGAAGCACAGTGTGTGTGTGTTCTACCCAAACAGGACAATCACATAATAAATAGAAAAAAAAAAGGCCTCTCTCCAAACAGGAATGTCCGAACACACCCAGATGCCTAAAATTCTCCTATGCTCAACATCCGAATTGTCTCTTCCCTCCCTTCGTGGGAAACCTGTTAACATTTCCGGGTCTGACAGAGACAGAAAAGCCTTCCAACTTCCCTCCACAGTTAAATAAAATAGCCGGGGTAACTGACTGGCCGGTCCCAGCCAGGTCAACCCGCTCTTTGAGGGCTCCTTGTTTCCTTCCCGGTGGTCCCTCAGAACCCCAACTCTGCTCCGCCATCGTTTACTTCTCCTCCCAACCCACCCTAGCACCTCCCCACTACCCCCCGGCCCTGACACTCCCCGGCCGGCCGCGTCCCCTCGCGCCCCGCCCCCTGCGCCTCCCCAACCGCGTCCCGAAGTCCCTTCCTCAGGCCCTCAAAGGCGACCCTGCCCTCGGGACCCGCCCCTCCTCACGACCCCAAAGCCACCCCAACCAACCCCTCACAGGGTCCTTCAGTGGCGAGCACGCGGGCGGGGCCCCGCCCCCCGGGCCTCGCACTCGGGGGTCCCGGGGGGAGGGGACCCCGGCCCCAGCCACGCCCCCCACAGATAATGGGTGACATGGCGGTCCCCACAATCCCCCGCCCGGCTCCTCTCCGCTCCTCCTCGGCGGGCCCGGCAGCCTCGCTCACCCACACGAATAGGCTGTCCGAGAGCAGGTACTGGGCCACGTCGCGGGCCCGGGGTCCTCCGGTGCTCGGCCGGACGAGCGCGGCCGGGTCTGGCTGTACCGGGGCCGTTACCGGCTCCGCCTCGGCGGGCCCAGGCCCGGGCCTGGCCTCGGGCTGGCTGAGAGCGCGGTAGGCGCTGACGATGGTGCCGAGCAGGGCCAGGCCGCTGAGGCCCGTGTAGGTGCGGAGACTGGGCCAGGGGAAGCGCTCGAGGAAGAGCAGCGGCATGGCGGCAGCGGCGGCTTCCAGCCCCCAGGCTTCCCCGCGCTGCGGCCGGGCCGCGGCGGCCTCGCGAACGGCGCCCACGGGCTCTGGCGTCGCCGTTGCCGCTGCCGCCGCCTCCTCGCCGGGCCGGGCCGGGCTGCTCCTGGCCGCTCGCGCCGCTCCGCCCCGCGCCGCTCCCGCTGCTGCCCCTGCCGGCGCGGAAGAGCCTTGGCTGGCTAGGGGCGGGCCGCCGCCCCCAGCAGGGTGCGGGCGGGACAGGCGCGGGGGCGCGGCCTCCGTCCCCCGCCCCCATCGGTCGCACCGCCGCCTGGCTGGCGAAGGCCCCGGCCGCAGGCTCTGGGGCCCAGAACCCAGCATTATCCTCCGCCGACACCCCAGCTCGGTCTGGCCCGCGGACGCACAGGGCACCCGACCGGGGCCGAGCCCAAGCGTCACTCAGGCCCGACGGCGCTGACAAGCGGTCAAGCCCTGGCCGCGTGGCCGATCCGCGGGACTCGGGGACCCCCACCACCGGGCGTCTAGCCACTTGTCCTTTCCCTTTCTTCCTTAAACGCCCCCTTAAGCAGGTTACCCCGGAGCACCCCCTGCGGGCCTAGGAGCTTCCTAGGTGGCTGAAAGAGGAGATGGTGCTTAGGGAATAATAGAGGCCCTGACCCCATAGAAAGAAAATTAACCAACGGTCTTAAATTCCTCGCAAATAAAGTTTCTGCTGTTTACTCATAACCTCCAGCAGAGTCTAAAACGAATCTGATTAAGCAGGAAATAAAAATGTGTTCCTTCATACACCAGGTAGGAATGTAAAATGGTGCAACTATTTTGGAAAGTGGTCTGTCAGCTCCTCAAAAAGTTTAAACCTAAGAGTGACCATTTGCAATTCCACTCCTAGGTAAATAACCAAGAGAAATGAAAACACACCACCACACAAAATGTGCACACAAATGTCAATAGCGACGTTATTCTTAATAGCCGAAGGTAGAAACAACCCTAATGTCCCTCAAGCGATGAATGGATACCTAAGTTATACACCCTACAATGGAATAGTATTCAGCCATGAAAATGAATGAAGTACTGATACATGCTGCAACATGGACAAACCTTGACAACATGCTAAGTGACAGCAGCCACACAAATGCCACATAGCGTGATTCCATTTACTTGAAATGTCCAGCACAAGCAAAAACATAGGTAGACAGAGAAAGTAAATTAATGGTTGCTTAGGGAGATGAGGGAACTGAAGTATAAAAGCTAAACATGGATTTCTTTTTGAGGTGATGAAAGTGTTCTAAAATTGTGGTGACTGTGGCACAACTCTGAATATACTAAAAATCTTTAATTGTATATTTATGTGGTGAAATATGTAAAGTATAGCTCAATAAGACTGTTAAAAAAAGAAAGAAAGAAAAGCACTACCAAAGAAAAGTGCTATCTTGGGGGTCTTATTCCTCATTGTATGCCCAAGGCCTGTACTAGTGCCTGATGCAGAGTAGGTATGCAGCAAATATTTGTTGAATCTTACACACTTTCAAAAGGACTAAAATATATTCAAGGTCTCTTTCATACCTAATATTCTAATTCTAAAAGTTTGTTAGAAAACAAAAGATCGCTCAGCTCAACGTTATTACTATCCAATTTGTAATTTTTAGAAACATCCTATTAAAGGGCCTGTGATGAACACAACAGTTTGGCTTTTACTGGGGAGGGAGGATGAGCGTACACACACACACACACACACACTTTTTTATATGAGATCTATATGATTAAACTTTCAGTTCCCTTTGGTTCTCTACCTGCAGACATTTGATTAAAATGCTAAACTTTCAACTTTATTGGTAAATAAAGTTTTATATGGAAGAAGGGATAGTGATTTTCCACAAGTAACTGTTCTACTTTATCTGAGCCCTCATAAATTTTAAACCACACTATCCAACTATCCAAATTCAATCCAAGCCACAATAGTTATAAAATATTATACCAAACTTGTCCTGTCACCACAAGGGGCTACTGTTAATAAATCTGTCCTTATTAAGGTACAGTATTCCACCATCTTGAATTCAAAGTGTTATAATCTGAGTTATGTTTTGAGAGAACCACTACTTTCTAAGTGTTAAAACTTCAGGCAGCCTGTTTCCTGGAATGACTTTGTTTAATAGCAACTTTTAACATTTGATTCTGACTACATAAAAACTATAGTCTAAATATTATACTTTTAGAAGCTTGTAATTTCTGAAGATTCAATATGAGAATAGGTGACATTAACCTAACTATATAAGGTTATTTTTTATTTGCATTTTAAAAGATCTTAAAGGTTTGCATCTGGACATCTTACTGGGATAATTAGTATTTGTTCTGCCAACATTTTGTCCTCACCCATTCCAAGGTAGCCAGGCTTTTGCACATCCTTCCCTCAAGGATTTTTTTTTCAAGGACAGAACCCACCTTCTAAAGTCAACCAATGCTCCTGGTTCTCTGTACTGCATCCTACATCATGATAGGAGTGGGAAAGGAGACCAGACTCAGGGGGATGAATACTAGTGTGGCCAGGAAGGCTGGACCACAGGCATAGGGGCCACCTGCATCATTTGCATCCTAAGGCCCAAGTGTGGCAGGGAGGCAATGGAACCAGACTTAAGAAGCTAATTCAGCTTGGACAAATATCCATGGAGTCCATGATGGAAGCTAGAGGTCTCCCCATCCCCACTTTCATTTCAGAGTACCATTTATGCTCTCTGGATTCGTATGACTTTGGGTAGGTCCCCTATTCCCAATAATGACTGAGACTGAATTCCCTGCCATTTTGTGAGACAGGGGCTCTGATCTGGTTTGATTTAAAGGAAATAAATATAACATTTCAGACAAACCAGAGTTGTGAAGATTCATATCTACATTATTGCTCTTTTCATTTTTAAAAATATCCAAAAGCCTTCTATATTCATGACCTCATTTGATTTTCACCATCCCGTGAGAAATGCTGAGTAGTCTGGGTGTTGTTTAAGGTTCTCAGCAGCCTAGGAACTGAACTTCATCATCTAATCCAGTAGCCTTCATTGTGCTCCCATGGAATTCTGCTTGTGTTTTCATTAGCTGGACCAATGTGTTCCATTACTAAATCTAGCAGAGGGGAAAAAATAATCAAGTTCATAGGGAAAAAAGTAAGTTAATGGGAACATTTCAGTTTTTAGCTTTTCTTTCATAATTTTTCATAGCTCTTTGGTGCCTGCTATAAACTAGTAAAATTTTCAGAAAAACTCTGCAATAACTGTATCAAGTTTTGTTCAACTTTTGTTCAGAAATAAAGTCTCAAGGCTATGGTTTTATTACACATATATTCTCACGTTTTGAGTAAACCGTTTCTGTTACAATGATGAAATTAAATTGCAAAGTACTGGGTTGGCCAAAAAAGTTCATTCGGTTAACGAATACATCGTTCAATAAAGTTCTTGATGAAAATGAAAAATTTTTACTTAAAACCAAGTGAACTTTTTGGCCAACCCAATATTACAAAAGTAGCAAGCATGGTGTCACAGCACATCATGACCTCCAAGCAAGTTTGATTAAAAAAAAACTAAAGTCAATACTCTCTTTGGAAACTGAGTCCCCAATGATATAACACAGTTAACAAAATTGCATGGCAACTTCTAAATGCCAGTCTTCAGGTTCCAAACCCAATGACCCTTTCACATTGCAGGAAACCGCATCTGCCTAAGACAACTGCCAACACACAATGGAGGAATGCAAGGGGAGGGCAACATGGATGTCCCAGGTCTTCAAGCCCTTGCCGTTATGCAAGTTGTCTCTTACCTAATGTAATGGCCTCTGGCCAATGATACTGAAAAAGAACCGTGCAGGATTTCTAATGGCACGCTAAGATTAGTAGCCACACACAAAATCAGAGTCATTCTAATATTTTTTATTGAAATGACAATAAAATAAAAAAAGAACAGTGACCATTTTAATCAAACTTTTACTTTACAAATATAAAAATATAACCAAAACTTCAGTTTCTTTTATACATTTTTCTATAAACTTAATGCCAGAGAAATTCTCAAAGCCAAATTATAAATGATGCTTGTACATTATGATGTGAACGCAGCAACCAAAGTTTAAGTTTTTAAATGCGCTGATCTTTCCCTTAACAGAACATAACACATTTTCTCAATTTAGCTCTAGTCTTAACCATACAATCCATCACTAAAATACAAATTACATCTAAACTGGCTTAATCTAGATTTACTTAGGTTTTAGTCAGTTTTTTCACAAACACAAGCTAGATAAATATAAGCTAATATTAAAATGTGTTTTATGGCTCAAGTCAAATTACAGTATTATGCTTCTCATTACGCCATTTAGCAAAGGCAAACTGCTTCAAATGAGTCCAGTTTAACCCAAATAACGAGTAATGTAAAACATGTGGAATAATTAAAGGAAATCAAACCTCATGCTTATATAAGCTGACTTGTATTACAGTAAAACCCACTAAGCCTTCTCTGACAATGGGAAATACAAAATTTTGCACTCTCTGAAGCAGTCTTAGTGATGGGAACATACTGTTCCAAACACTATGAACTAGTGAAAACATCAGGTTTGAAGAACTCAAAAATGGAAAAGGTACTCCACGAATTTCATCTCAAAAAATGAAGTCATTAAAAACCTGAGAGTGTAAGAGTTGCACCATTTAAGAAAGGGAATTTTAAGCTGATTGCCTGTTGGCCTGCTGAATTTGGAGGACCTCTACCTCTCACTTCTAATTAACCATGTAAGAAAACAGACTGGCTAGTTTGGGTATGTTTTATCCAAATAAAATGCTAACTTAACAGAACCCTTAAATATACAAAATAGGGCTTCCCTGGTGGCGCAGTGGTTGAGAGTCTGCCTGCCGATGCAGGGGACACGGGTTCGTGCCCCGGTCCGGGAAGATCCCACATGCCATGGAGCGGCTGGGCCCGTGAGCCATGGCCGCTGAGCCTGCGTGTCTGGAGCCCGTGCTCCGCAACAGGAGAGGCCAC